GTACTAGGTATTGAACTTGAACCAGGAGGCACTTAACCAATGATCAACATTCCCAGCCCTTTTTATTTTGAGACAGGCTTGCTTAAGGCCTTGCTAAGTTGCTGAGACTGGCCTTGAATTTGTGAGATCTTCTTGTCTCAGTAGCTGGGATTATAGGCCTGCTTCACTGTGCCCAGCTAAAGCATTCAATTTAAATGGGTTTTAGTGTATATATATTTATTTTAATTGTGAAAAACATATAACATAAAAATTTTTAACCTTTTATTTTTTGTGCTGAGAACCTTGTGCATGCTAAGCAGGAACTGTAATACTGAGCTATCCCCATAGCCCATTTATTTATTTATTTATATGTGGTGCTGAGAATTGAAGCCAGTACCTCACACATGCCAGGCCAGCTCTACAACTAAGCTACAACCCCAGCCCCATTGCCCATTTTAACTATTTTTAAATGTACAATTTAATGGCAATTAATTATGTTCACAAGGTAGTTTTTACCACTGTGTCCAAACTTTTTTTTTAAACTTTTTTTTGTTGTAGATGGACACAATACCTTTATTTTATTTATTTATTTTTATGTGGTACTGAGGATTGAACCCATTGCCTCACATGTGCTAGGCATGTGCTCCACCACTGAACTACAACCCAGGCTCTTCAATTTTTTCATTACCCCCATAAACTTAACGATTAAGCAATGAATTCCCCCAGTTTACCCTGCTCTCAGGTTTGTGATAACCTCATACACTATCTTTTGTGTCTGGCTTGTTTCACCCAGTTTCTGAGGTTCTTGTACTTTGTAGCATGTACTTCATTTGAGGGCCTTCCATGGATATCTTGTATTACATTATATATCTATGTGATACATCTTTTGATTATATGAATAATACTGATATGAATATTCATATACAAATAATTCTTTGAATACTTGTTTTTATTCTTTTGTGTATATAGTCATCTGTTGATATCAGAAGATTGGTTTTCTTCTCCCTCAGATACCAAAACCTATTGATGCTCAATTTTTTTTTATATAAAATGGTGTGGTATTTTTCCTATAATCATGCACATCCTCTCATATACTTTAGTTTTAAATATTTATTTTTTAGTTGTAGTTGGACACAATACCTTTATTTCATTTATTTTTATATGGTGCTGAGGATTGAGTCCAGGGCCTCGCACATGCTAGGCAAGCGCTCTACCACTGAGCTCCAACCCAGCGCCCCCTATATACTTTATTTGATTTGTTTTTGTGGTGCTCGGCATTGAACCCAGGACTGTGTACATGGTAGGCAAGCACTCTACCAACTGAGCCAGTCCTCCCATATACTTTAAACCAATTCTGGATTACTTATAATACCAAATGCTATGTAAATAGTTGTTATACTGTATTGTTTAAGAGAAGGATGAGAAAAAAGAAGTTCATACATGTTTAATACAGACAAGTTTTTTTCCTGAATATTTTAAATCTGGAATTGATTGAATCCACAAATGCAGAGCCAGTGACTACAGCAGGCCGACCATATATCTAAGTGTGGAATTGCTGGATCTGCCAAACTGTTTTCAACAGTGGCTATATTGTTTAATATTCCCTTTAGTGATGTACAAAGTTTCCAGTTTTGTTTTTGTTTTTTGTTTTTTGGGTACTGTGGACATTTAATCTCTGAACCACATCCCCAGCCCTTTTTATTTTTATTTTTATTTTGAGACAGGATCTCACTAACTTGCTGAGTCTGGCTTTGAATTTGCTATTCTCCTGCCTCAACCTCCTCAGTTGCTGGAATTATAGGTGTGTGCTGCCACACCTGACTTAATTATTATTAGTAAAGTTGCTGAGAAGATTTCATACAAGTTTTTTTGTTATTATATATCCTAGTTTTCTTGCATAAGTACTTAGGAGTAGAATTGCTCAGTCATAGAACAGGCACTTATTTGTTCTTTAAAGAAACTATCATATCTTTCGTTAAAATGTTATCATTATAATCCTAACAAACATCTCCACGTTCTGATTTTTGCACATCTTCACTGGCCTTTGATATAGTTCTTTTTTTTTTAATTTTAACCATTCTAGTAGTTCTTAGTAGCATCTCATTATAGTTTTTTTTTATTGTTGTTTTTACATTTATTTTATTTCTTTATGGCATCACACATTACACAAGCACTTTACCATTGAGCTATAATTCCAGCCCTCATTATAGTTTTTAATTTGTATTTTCATCATTCCCGTTGAGTCCTTTTTCATGGGCTTATTGGCAATTTTATTCATTTTCTCGCTTTTTCCTTTAGGCTCTTGTTTTTTATTTCTGCTTTTTTACTTTTTTTCCCCCCCTCTACTGGGGATTCTACCCAAGGCCTCACACATGCCTCATACATTCTAACAAAGAGCTACACCCCCAGCCCTTTTAAATTTTTATATTGAATCAAGGTCTCCCTAAGTCCCCCAGGCCTCAGACTTGAGATCCTCCTGCTTCATCCTGCCAAGTAGCTGGAATTATAGGTATGTACCACTGTACCTGGCTTATTCATTTTCTTAATTATGTCTTTTCATAAGCTGAGACTTATAATTTTCATGAAGTCTGATTCATAACTTTTCTTTTTATGATTATTACTTTTTGTGACTTTGCCTGAGGCAAAGATATTCCTGTTTTTTTTTCCCCTAAAAGCTTTGTTATTTTTAGCTTTTATGCTTAAGTCTGTGATCCATTTTAAGTTAATTTTTGAGTATTCTGTGAGATCAGGATTGAGATAACATTTCTCATTGTAGATATTCATCATTTCTTATACATTTATTGAGAAGATTTTTTTTCTAAAAAATGTAGGTTTTTTTCTGTACAATTTATTTATTGGTTGATTTGATATTGATGTTACATTGTCTTGATTACTATACTTTGCAGTATAGAATGTTTTGAATGAATGTATAATAGTTCTCCAACTTTGTTTTTTTTTAATCAGGTATTCTAGGTTCTTTGTATTTTCATATAATTTGGTGAGGAGGCAGTCATTGAACCCAGGGGTGCTAAACCACTGAGTCACATCCCAACCCCTTTTTGTTTTTTGAGACAGTCTCACTAAGTTACTTAGGACCTCAAACTTGTGATCCTTCTGCTTTAGCTTCAGTAGTGGGAATTATAAACCTGGGCAACATACTTGGTTTCAAGTGAATTTTTTTTTTCCCAAGTATTTATAATCATTTAAAATTTTATCCTTCCTAGCCCTACAGAGCAGATTTTTACTTGAGAACTTTGTTAGGGATAGTCTCAGCTGGGGCTATGGTCCACATGCCAGACTTGACTTTCTTTCTTTATTTTTGTAGGTTTTTTTTTTTTTCCAGACTTGACTTTGATTTTTTCTTTTTAGACAGTGGATTGAACCCAGAGACATTTAACTACTTAAATATTTATTTATTTTTTTAAAGAGAGAGAATTTTTAATATTTATTTTTTTTAGTTTTTGGCAGACACGACATCTTTGTTTGTATGTGGTGCTGAGGATCGAACCCAGGCCACACGCATGCAGGCGAGCGCGGTACTGCTTGGGCCACATCCCCAGCCCTTTTGTTTTTTATTTTTGAGACAGAATCTTGTTAAGTTGCTGAGGCTAGCTTTGAACTTGTGACTCTCCTGCCTCAGCTTCCCAGGTCACTGGAACTACAGGCAAGCACCACCATGTCTGGCTCACCTTTTTTCCTAATGAAGTGTTATTCAAATGCGTGCTCTATGTTCATTTATCTATGACTATAGGGGCTTTTGAACTATAATGGTAGAATTGAGTGACAGACCATATGGCCCACAAGACAAAATATTTATTGTACTGTCCTTTCCAGAAAAAAACTGCCAACCCCTAATTTATAACAGCTGATAAAGAACTACCTCTTTGAATATATCCCATTCCCCTTTATTAGAAGTGCTGTAATAGAAGTGTTGTTACTCTTATTTACCTAGGCTTAGTTTCTAGCCCTTCCTGTTTTAAGGAGACTTAAACTTGTATCTCCCATTATTCCTTTGTTGTCTCATGGATTTTCCTCAATGGTTAAAATAAATGAGAATTTAGCATACCTTATCTCAGTTTATTATGGAGTTATATCACTGTTTTACATTTCTCTAGTAATTTGCAAACTTCTGGCCTATTTGATCATATGAAGCCTGCAGACATGTTTTTTTTGTGACCCATCTGGCACCAGTATTTAAATTGGAAGATTTTGCCAGGCACGAATGTGAATGCCTGTAATCCCAGCTGCTCTGGAGGCTCAGGCAGGATTGAGAGTTCAAAGCCAGCTTCATCAACAGTGAGGTGCTAAGCAACTCAGTGAGACCCTTTCTCAAATAAAATACAAAATAGTGCAGGGGATGTGGCTCAGTGATTGAGTGCCCCTGAGTTCAATCCCTGGTACATTAATTAATTAACTGGAAGATTTCATATGAAAACCTGGATTTCTAGATTTTCTTGGGAAAGCAGAAAAATATGACAGCAGTGTGCCTGACTTTACTGATGACAGTAGTCCACTGGAGTCGAATAGTAACTGTCTTTATAAGTAAGCTGCCCCTATAAGGAATACCTTTTTTTTTTTTGGTACTAGGGATACAACTCTGGGTCACTCAACCACTGAGTCACATTCCCAGCCCTATTTTGTATTTATTTAGAGACAGAGTCTCACTGAGTTGCTGAGTGCCTCTCCATTGCTGAGGTTGGCTTTGAACTTGGGATCCTCCTGCCTTAGCCTCCAGAGCCACTGGAATTACAGACATGTGCCACCATGCCTGGCAGGAATAGCTTTTTATGGATGTTCCCTTTTTATAGTATCTTATTCTCCTTTTATGGAATAAAATTCTTATCAGCTCTGCTGAGGTGATACACATACATATATACATTTAGTTTATATTTTCTATTCCTGAATTGTTTGTTGTTTGTTATTCCAAGGTGGTTTCTGCCACCCCCCCTCCCCTTTTTATATAGCTTAGTATTTCTCTTTAATCCTACAGATTTATTTCTCATGTCCGGTGATCCTTGGTTTGGGTTTCATATTTTAAAATGAGATCCTGGAATAAAGCTCCATGTATATAGAAGGGACTGGTGACTGGCAGACATTGGGGTCTTGAAGATGGAAACTGGCCATTGTACTTTGCCAGCTGTAGCTGCCAGGTCGCAAAAGGTTTTTCTCTGGGTTAAAGTAAAGTATTCTGATTTCTGAATTTATAAACTTTGAAATCTTCTGTCCTCAGTCCCATACTTTGTCACTCTGGATTCCTTTGTGCAGATTTGGGCAGATTCTCTTTGACCTCAAGAGAATCAATAATCAATTCTCTTTGATTCTCTTATAGCCTTTCATTCCAAGGATTCCATTATTCATCTCTTCATTGGCTTCCCATTTTCTTGAACTTGGTTAAAATTTGTTTACTGACTAGACACCCCCTTCCCTAATCTCATTAATGCTGTGGGGTTACATATATATTTTTTAAATGCCTTTACTGTTATTGTAATGGTATCTAGAGGAAGAATTAAGGATTATATATTCACATACTATTTGGAACCAAAAAGTTTCTGGCATTTTAAAATGGAATCCCAAAAGAAGATATTATTGCTGGAGCTACTTATGATGCATTTTATCTTAATTTTATATATTTAAACTAATACAGTTTAGTGGAAGGCCAAAATTAGCCATAAAGTTCTATTTGCCTATAATATTATTTTCTTTTTGATGTGACTAGTTGATGACTACCAGCCCATTCGTCTGTTAAGTGAACCTGGGGAATTAAGAAGAGAGTATGAAGAAGAGATAAGCAAGGTAGGTGCAAAATAATTTATCTTTTTTTGAAAATTTTTTCTGCTGTGTTTTCAGTCTCAGATTTTTACATATAATTTTATTTGCTTAAATAATTAGTATAGGGCTGGAGTTGGGCTCAATGGTAGAGAATTTGCCTAGCATGTGCAAGACCCTGGGTTCTCTCCCTAGTACAACAAAAACTGAAAAGAAAATTCAAAGTACTTTTTCTTTCTTTCTTGTTTTTTTTTTTTTTTTTTTTTGTAGTGCTGGGAATGGAACCCAGGACCTTGTGCATGTGAGTCAATCACTCTACCAACTGAGCTATATCCCCAGCCCCAAATTCAAACTACTTAAAGCAATAAGAATTTATTTGTTTGTTTGTTTGTTTGTTTATTTTGAGTACTGGGGATTGGACTCAGGGGCACTTGACCACATCTCCAGCCCTATTTTATATTTTATTTAGAGACAGGGTCTCACAGAGTTGCTTAGTGCCTCACTTTTGCTGAGGCTGGCTTTGAGCTCCTGATCCTCCTACCTCAGCCTTCTGAGCTGCTGGGATTACAGGTGTGTGCCACCAGACCAAGCTAGAAAATTATAATTAACTGGAATTTCAGAGGCTATGGGCTTCAAGGTTGGTTTCTTCTGGAGCTCCAGCTCCATTTCTTTGCTAATTTTTGTGATCTGGCTCTAATATCAGGCCAATGCAAGATGGTTGTACAGTTTCAAACTTCAGATGCATATAGAACCACATGCAGAAGAAAAGAAGCAGTGTCTTCTTTGGGCATTTCTTTAAGAGCAAGAAAACTTAACACAGAAGTCCTTCAACAAACTTTCCTCGTGTCTACAATTTGTTTTAATTAGGTGAAGAACTTACTTTTGAATCAAATACTTTGAACTGTCAGTGTGGTGGCTGTAGGTCCTAGGAAGTGAGTTGGAATTCAACTCTGCCACTTGAAGACAGTAATTGTTTTTTCTGTGTGTCTTGTAATGGTTACTTCTTCAATATTTGTTCTATTCCTGCCCACTGTTAGGGGATTGATCCTAATTTCAAGGATAGGCCCTGCTTAGTATAAGTCAGTTTCTATCATTCCATCCCCTTTCCTAGGTTTAATTCAGAAAGTTAGGTTTATCTTAGTACATGACATTCTGTCAACTGAGAAAAGTATTACCAAAAAGAATGTCCATAAATGTGTAGCAGTATAATAGAAACTATGATAAGGACTGAAGATAAAGGTTTTGGGTCTTTGATCAAGGTTTCATTGGACTAACTGAGGAAAGCTTTCTGAGGGAGCCTTCTTGAATTCTATAGTTTTTTGCCTCCCCAGATTTGTATTTCATTTGAAATATTTAAGATCTTACCAGTTTTTTCTTTTACCATTTTTATTAGGAAACACTGCAAATTACATTAAGTTCAGAGAAGAATTATCCTCTATTAATCATTTTTTAGGTGGAGGCAGAGCGACGAGCCAGTGAGGAAGAAGAAAACAAAGCCAGTGAAGAATATATACAGAGATTATTGGCAGAGGAGGAAGAAGAGGAAAAAAAGCAGGCAGAGAAAAGGCGAAGTGAAGTGGAAGAACAACTAAAAAATGATGAAGAACTGGCAAGAAAGCTAAGCATTAACATTGTAAGTTTTAGGAGAGAACTTTGAAGTATTAACATTTCAGTTGCTTTGACCATGTGGTTTTCATTGAGTTGAAGATGAAGCATTTACTATAATTAGAAGCTATATCTTTGCTCTATTTAAAACAAAACTTTTTAAATAACAAACTTTGCTATAGGAAGTGTATTTTTGTTTATTGTTACATAATTGTAACCACACATGCCCTCATAATACATTATAAAGTTATCCAATCCCCCACTGTTATGGAGATTGAATCTAGGGCTTTGCCCATGATAGGCAAGTGCTTTATTACTGACCTTACATCCCTGATCCACACGTTACTCTTTAAAAAAGAAAGAAAGAAAAAAATATTTTGGGCTGGGTGTAGTGGCAGACAACTGTAATCCCAGTGATTCAAGAGGCTAAGGCAGGAGGATCATGAGTTCGAAGCCAGCCTCAGCAATTTAGTGAGGCACTAAGCAACTTTATTATCAGTTTCTTAATAACTTTTCCCTTATTCACCTGAAGGTGAGTTATACTGTTTTATTTCTTATGTGTTTTCACTTGATAGATCTTAAAGATTTTTGTAGTTGTGTTAAGATATATATGTAGTTATTTTAAGAGAATAATATTTCTTTATATAGATGTGGATCCGTTTTTGAAAGTGAAGAACTTAATTTTTTTTCCTCTTTTCTTCCTGTGGTACTAGGGTTTGAACCTAGGACCTCATGTATACTAGGCAAGCACTGTACCACTGAGCTGCATTTTCAGTCTGTTTCTTAAATAATGTATTATAAACCTGGATTTTCTTTTTCTTTTCTTTTCTGTTACCAAAGATTGAATCCCAGGGGCACTTAATCACTGAACAATACCCCGAACCCTTTTTTGTTTTTTATTTTGAGACAGGGACTCTATAAATTGCTTCAGGCCTTGCTAAGTTGCTGAGGCTGACCTCGAACTTGCAATCCTACAGCTTCAGCCTCCAGTGTTGCTTGGATTTCAGGTGTGTGTCACCCACCAGCTTTGCCCTTTTTTACATATCCTTTCTTTTCTAAATTTGAGTAGAATACATTTTAAAACTATATGATCAGAGAAGTAAGTAAAAACATTGATGAATGGAATAATAAATGGAATAGGGAAGAAAATATGTTAAAGAGAAGAATTTGGAGTCATCTGTAAAACATCTTTCAAATGTCTTGTTGTAATCCTAGTTTTCACATAGCAATATGAGAGTAATTTTATTAAAATTTTAGAAAAATTTTTGGTTTAATATGAAGGTTTAGCAATGGTGAATAATCATGAACTTTTCCAATAGTATGATAAGAAACTTATGAGACTAGTTATAATAAGTGAATATATATGGTATTTATTGATATACCCTTAAAACCCAGAGTTATGTTTCTACAAAACTTTTACTCCAGATATATCCTTAGCTCTTTAAAATTTCTCCTATAAAATAGTTATAATTATATAACACTTTATTAGAAAAATCCTCAGAAATTATTGGTGAGATTAATATTATTCCTTTTAATGCTTCATAATGTACAGTAAGAATGGATTAATTTAGACCAACATTGGTGAACTTGGTTTTGTTTATATAATATAGTTTTTCCTTGATATCTGCAAGGAATTAGTTCCAGGACCTTCTTATGTAGGCCTATTATGTAGGCATTGTGCATATAACCTGCACACATCATTTCTAGATTATTTGTGATATTTAAAACAATGTAAATGGTTTATGTATGTTAAGTTCACGGGTAATATTATATTTCATAAATTTTCATTATTGAATTTGTGATTTTTTTTTTTTAGAAAGAATTTTTTTAATATTTATTTTTCAGTTTTTGGTGGAGACATCTTTATTTTATTTTTATGTGGTGCTGAGGATTGAACCCAGCGCCCCCCACATGCCAGGTGACCGCTTTACTGCTTGAGCCACAAACCCATCCCCATATTGAATTTGTGATTTTAACTTTTTTTTTTTTTTTTTTTAACAGAGAGAGGAGAGAGAATTTTTTATATTTATCTTTCAGTTTTCGGTGGACACAACATCTTTATTTTTACGTGGTGCTGAGGATCGAACCCAGCACCCCGCGCATGCCAAGCAAGCGCGTTACCACTTGAGCCACATCCCCAGCCCTGGATTTTAACATTTTTAATAGTCACACTACTTACTTATTTATTCATTCATCCATCCATTTATTTATTTGTTTGTTTGTTTATTTATTTTTATGTGGTGCTGATAATTGAACCCAGTGCCTCACACATCGTAGGCAAGTGCTCTACCATTGAGCCACAACCCTAGCCCCGATTTTAACCTTTTTAAATTTTACATTTCAGTGACATTTCTTACATTCACAATTTAAACAATCACTACCACTATTTCCAAAAATTGTAACATCCCAAACAGAGATTTTGCAACCATGAATTTATAACTCCACAAATTTCCCTTTGCCTAGTTCCTGAAAACCTGGTGTACTTTTTAAAATATTTTTTTAGATGTATAGACCCTTATTTTATTCACTTATATGTGGTGCTAAGAATCTAACCCAGTGCCTCACACATGGTAGGCAAGCGCTCTACCACTGAGCCACAGCCTCAGCCCAAATTTTTTTCTCTATGATTTTGTCAGTTGTAGATATTTTTTTAAACAAATCTTTTTTTAGTTATACATGGACACAAATTCTTTATTATTTTTTAATTTATTTTAATGTGGTGCTGAAGATAGAACCCATTGCCTCACATGTGCAAGGCAAGCGCTCTGCCACTGACCCACAACCCTAGCCCTATAGATAGATATTTTATATAGTTTAAATCATATACTATTTTTTCTGTTTCATTTCATTTTGCTATTGGCTTCACAGTTCATGTTATAACATGTAAAAACTTTGTTTCTTTTATCGCTGAGTAATATTCCATTACATGTATATACCACATTGTGTTTATCCATTCATCTAATAATACACATTTGGGTTGTTTCCATCTATTCACTTTGTGACTAATACTTCATTGGGCATTGGTTTCTACATAATTACCTTCCTGAGAAGTAGTTTTTTCAATTCATTTGTGTATACACTTCGGAATAGAAATTGCTGGGTCCAAGCTGCTGGGATTACAGGCGTGCACCACCATACCCGGAATCCTCCAAATATTTTCAGTTCATGATCAGTTGAATCTCTGGGAATAGGAATGGAGAGCTGACTATACTGAGTTTTGTATGGTCACTATTCTTCAAAGAATATATAGAAATTAAATGTAGTTCTGGAAACATTTTGTGAATTCTGAATTAATTGGTGTAAATAATAGCTTATTTTCTCATAAAGCTATTTTTAATTATGTCTTTTGTGCTTTTCTTGTTGAAGAATAATTTCTGCGAGGGGAGTACCTTGGCTTCTCCTTTGAATTCCAGAAAATCTGATCCAGTCACAACCAAGTCACAAAAGAAAAATAAGAACAAACAAAGAAACATTGGAAATATTCAGAAGTAAGTGAATATGACATAATCAATTATCTGTTGACCGTCTACAGTATTAGTGTTTTTTGTTCAAATAATACCACTGGCAATTAAGGTTTTCTTCATGAGCTCTTTATGAAAACACTAAAGACAGACTGATATTGATGTAAAGTGAAAAGAAATGAGTTACTGCCATGTCATTCCTAGCTAGCACAGGAGAGATGTGAAAGCTGTCATGCTTTTTACTCAGCCACTTATTTTAGCAGATTAGTACTTTTTGTCTAATTTGCTCAGGGTTTGCATGTTGGATTTCCACAAAATGAACCAGTTGAATTCCTCTGCTTCATAGTTTAAATTCAACTAAAAATAGCCTAGTCCAAGATAGGCTCATCTTCATTGAAAATCTCCCTCTCCCTTTTTTCCCAGTTTATGCATAGTATTTCTTTGCTACTATAAAGCAAAACAAAACAAAACAAAAACATGAATAAAGTAATCAAGGATGGCATGAGCTAGTTTCCTTATAATAGCCCTCTAGAATCCTTTAATAGGTAGAATTGATGGTTTTGTGAGGACATAAGGCTTCCCATGCTAAAATTCATAGTAGAAAAAGTTTAAGAACCACAATCTAGACTTGAAAACCATGTGAGGACTTCTAGTTCAGCTTAGTATATATGTGCAGGTAACTCACATCTCCTTCCAAAATTTGTTGAAATTTTGGATTTAGAATGGGAGGACTTTTGGAAAGGAGAGTTAAATAAGGTGGTTGCTGTTAAATGAAAAAAAAAAAAAGTGTGGTTCTATCAATATTATTAATACTGATGATTGATATGCAAAGTAGAAATCAGAAGAAAATCTTTTAAAATAGGAAAAGCAGGGTTAGGGATGTAGCTTAGTGGCAAAGTGCTTGCATAGTGTTCACAAGGCCCTGGGTTCAATCCTCATTAACAGAGGTGGGAATGGGGGTTATACAGATAGGTGTTTCATTTTGACATATATTGCCTAAGGATATGACTTATGAATCTTTATCTAAAAATATATTTTGAAATACAGACTTTTAAATTATTAGAATAAACCAAGTAACAAATTGAGAAACAGCTTAAGGATATGACTTATGAATCTTTATGTATCTAAAAAAAATTTTAAATTACTAGAAGACTAAACCAAGTAATGAATTTAGAAACAGACATCGAGAAACTGATAAAGCTAAAACAAAGTTAAAAACAATTGAGGGCCTTGGAGTGAGGCTCAGTAATGGAGTGAATGGTTAAGCCATTTAAGGCCCTTGCTTTGATTCCTAGCACCACCAAAAAAGTTTTATGAAAATGGAGCCAGTACCATGGTACCTCACTTGTAGTCCAAGATAGTCAACTGGACTGAAGCAAGAAGAACACTTGATCCTGGGAGTTCAGGGCCAGTTTGGGCAACATAGCATGACTCTTCTCTTACCAAAAAAATAAAAACTGATGTGGTCTAGTCTCTAGAATATTACATTAAATACTTGTAACTCAACAACTAAAGACAACACAAATTAAAAAAGGGCAAAGGACTTAGACATTTCTTCGATGAAATATAAGTGGCCTGTAGGCACATGAAATGATGTCCACCATCATTAGTAATTTGGAAATGAAAAAAAAAATGGGGAGAGAAAAAAGGAGAAGAAAGACTAAAAATATATTTTAAAAGACATTCTCTGGAGATGTGGCTGGTTTTGGGGGGGGTTGGTCGTGGGTCCGACCCCCCCCCCCCCCGCAATGCTGGGATTAAACCCAGGATATCACTGTATTACTGAACTACATCCATTTTCCCTTTAAACCCAGGTGGTAAGTATTTGGGTTTTCATGGTAATGTAAATTTTAAAAACTTTTGGAAGTATGGTATGCATATTTTAAAGTGCACTAATTTAAATGTATTTAGTGAATTTTTACATGTATTTAAATCATCCCCTGGATTAAGATATAAAAT